TAAAACAACCGATCACTTCTGGAATTTTTTTTGCATTTGTTCAGTGAAATGCCTGGGGTCTCCACAGCTTTGTAGAAACATTATAAAGCAAAAGTCGTAAAATATCTTACATGTAATCGATTAGATTGATAGACTCAGTTTTGTTATTTTTTTTTGAACAAATCACCTTTATTATTTTATGTCAGAGAATCAGAATTTATTTTTTCTACACTACACCTTTCAAACCATTGATTTTAATGGCATCTCATTTTTCCCCTACTAACTGCAAACTCATAACCTCTGTAGAAAATCAATATGTAAGGAGATTTCAACTCATGATCTATTTTTGGAGGAAAGACTATTTACAGGATTGCTGCATTTAAATTGAGTTGTATAATGCCTGCTAGACATCTATCAGCTTTAAAGGGTATTGATTGTTCTCTATAATTGAGCTGGTTTCTTCCCCTTACTTTACTGGTAGATGAGTTGCTAGAAAGCTGGAATGTTGTTTCAAAGTTAGTAAACTTAGTGTAAGTATTTACTCCAGAAAGAAAGTTGCTGGAAACTACTCAATTTATCACTCCAGAAATATCCACGGGAATTAAGTAGACCATTGACCAGCTCTCTGTCTGAAATGAGCTCAATGAATTAGCTGGGCATTTGTTGTCAGTTGAAAGTCAGGCAGCCAGACTGTTTGTGCTCAGGTACTTAGTATAGAGGCAGCAGGCAATTGTGGCATTCTGTGGATGGGAATAGAGGTGGCTCAAAGTTGCAAAAATTCAGAACTTCCTTTATATAGTCTGCAGGAACAGTTTTTTTTTGAGATTTTCATTAGTAGGTTTCACTAGCAGTAGTGGCACAGCAATAAGAAATTACAATGGGCTGCTTCGAATCAATGATTTACCCATCATAATTTTACAGCCAAGGAGTTATTTTGCTGCCAGCCATGGTACTCTCTGGCTTGCTGCATTTTACACCAGCCTGAATTGGGCAAGCCGTGTTGACATGTCCATCTGGATTTTGTAACAGAAGTTGGAACCAAGAGCTGTGTATGAATAGAGCTTTGACCACTTGTTGATGACAAACATTTATTTAAATGAAACGCAACCTCATAATGTCTTGTGTCCATTTGCTACAAGGCTGATGGGTTTTATTAATACATCAGTCAACGGCTAATATTTAGTGTTTGAGTCATGAGAAATCACTCAATAATGTAGGACAATAACTGTTGAAAGAAATAGCCAACATCCATCAGAATTATTAAATGATTCCGATTGATGTGAATACAATTAAAAGGACATAAATGATGGTATAGTGGTAAATGGAAAACGCACGACCTGTTGAAGTATAGACAGAATTCTCTGGCAACCTGAACAATGTGGGCTGTGGTGAGATAAGTGGCAAACATAAGAAACCCAGGGAGGCCAATCTCAACATCGTGAACAACTCGCTGCATCATTTAACTAGGTTCCAGGCATCGAGGCAAGATTCTTACTCAGCAGCTGTGAGGTACTTAATATGGAGGGTTATTACTTTTTAAGGACCTGATTAACTGCAATAAAATGCTGTTTTCTATCATACTCACTTGCAGAGAGCAAACTAGGTGCTGAGAATTCTTCACATGAAAGTCAGAGCATGTACCTTAGCTGACCGCTTGGTCCAATGGACTTCTATGTTGGAGAACAGGCAACAATGTCTCGGAACATGCTGCATTGGCACCGGCCACACACATCCCACCTTCAAGATCATTGACGTTTGATACATGTCAGCCTCTAACAACTCTCATGGCATAGCTCCGATCCACTTACTTGTGCTTCTGAACATCATTGCTGCACTTGATAGCACTTTGCAACAGCAACTTTCATTGTATTGCTGCAGCACGGACACTATGCTTAGGGTCATGCACCCAGTTCATGGTCTGGACCAGCCTGCATCACCGTCTTCACCACTCTGTTAGCATTCATTCATTTTTTGCCTACCTGATCTCACAGAATCTCTGCCTTGCCTTGCTTTCTTGCACCTTGCCCCTCAACCAGAGATACCAGGTTTACAGTACAGTCATATGGCATAAAGACTGTATCTTTTTATTTTCTGCTTTTTTGATTGTGGGCTGAAATGAGGAAAAGAGCTGTTTTAAAAGCCAACAATTGTTGAAAGATCATTGCAGTTTTTAAAATTAAGTAACCTGACACTCATGGAAATTACTGTTCATACAACTGGTTCTTCAAGCACTAGTAGAAGCCTAGTTTGCAGATGATCTGGAGACAAGGACTGTGTATTAATGGAGCTTTTGTTGCCAAAACATGGCTGATTGATTTGTGGACTAGTGGCCAATTATTGATAATAAAGGCCTTCTGCCTGCGAATAACTATGTGATTTGTCCCCAGGTGGCTGAACAGCTTGTGGGTGTGAGTATTTTGTTAGAAGCAATTGAATCTCTACAAATCTAGAAAATCTCTCTTCTCCACAATATTACAGCATTTCAAACTGGAAGGTAGCCAGTTTATTTCTCATTTCCAACTGCTATAAGCTGTGACCTTTAATTGATAAACCAGGGACCGTGTAAGTGTGAAGTAGTCACCCAGTGCTTTCTGCAAACAGGTGAAAGTGTCTGGAGAAGGAAGATCACAAAGCAACATCACAGCAAACCCTGTGGACAGGGATCACCAATCTTCCCAGTCTTTCCCTCTGTCCATAACACTTTTTTTTCTTGTCTGTATGTGTGTGTAGGAGGGGGTTGGAGTTTTAATTATTGGACTTCAAAGTCAATAGTTTACATGTTTGTCTCTAATTAAAATGTATTTATTTGTATTAAATAGTCATTCTTGTTAAGTACAGTACACTACAGAAACTTGACCCTCTGTCAACGTAAATCTGAAAGACAGGTAAATTGGGAAATTCTGCATACTGTTAAAAATATTTAAGTTTTGTGATGGCTCTGGGAATAGCACGCTTTGTTACCAGAATGCTACCCAATGAGGTGTAATAATTGCTGTGCAGTTTAGTGCATACACAGAGTCAGGAAGCTTGTCATAGTTGTCAAAAGTCCTCAGTCAACTCAAGAATATTGCCTTCGGTCAGGGCATCCCATCACAGTAAGTCATGCATGGCCTCCAATATCACTCCAGTGTCTTGGACATGGTCAGTCTGTCACTTGGTGGTCAGAATCAGGATGCTTTCCACATAAAAGGTGAGGAGCCAAATGTTGAGTGGCCCACTAGCCTTCTTGATTCTTTCTGCCTTATTGTGGCTGTTTCCTCATGGTTTGAGAGAGAGAGAGAGAGAGAGAGATAGGGAGGTGTCCTGGGCGAATAAGTAGGCAATGCAGAGGGTAGTGGTGTTGGGGTTGGGCTGGGTGACAGTGAAGATATTACAGGCAATAGTGAGAGTAGTAAAGCTTGGTGCTTGTTTGGAATGGGCACAGTAGCACAGACGAGTGAGTGTGAGGTGTTGAAGAGAAGCTGGGGGGCGTATACATTGTTTTTACACATTGTTTTGTAGAAAAAGTCATTGACGTTCTTCCTACATTGCTGTGCATTCTTACAGATGGCTGAGACTGCTTGAACACAGGTGGCAATCTTGACAGTGGTGAGTTGATCCGAGTATGGCAAACAGTAGAATAGTGCTAGAATTGAACAGGACAGGCAGTGTATGGGTGTGGTGGATAGTGAATGAGGTGAGTTTGGTAAAAATGTGAAAACTTGCTCTGCTTCACAGAAAGAAATCTTTCGTGATAGTCGATAAAACTGACACAGAAGCCAAAAAAATTCAGCCTTTCATCTATTTTTGAGTACATGAGGAAGAGGAAATGAAATCAAGCGCATTTGGGCTTTTGTGGTGATGTTTCACTTTCCTTTCACTCGGCTGACAATACTTATTTCATAACACAAGCTCTGAAAGATTAGAGAAATATTGTATTTCTAGCCTCCCATTATTCTGGAACGGAATTCCAATTATGTGTTTCAATAAATTTGGTCTCCCTTCCACCTATTCCGATCATGTGAGATTGAACTTCTCAAATGGAAAGCAATATTCTATCATGAGCATTTAGCAATTCAAGCATTTTGGTGAGCTTTGGTGACTGATCAGCTTCATGTGATGGATTGGCTGGTCATTCTTTCAGTTCATCTCTAAAAATGCCTGCTTCAAATTACTCATGTTCCTCAACACTACCTCAATTGACCAGATTGGTCTCATAATAGTAGATCAATTTCACTGTTTGGATACATGCTGTTTGTATTGGACCAAAATAAATATATTTCCACAACTTATCAACAGTGTTACAGTTGCATGTAGAGACTAATATCATTTTAAAAAGATGCATTTCTAAAAGATAAATGGAAATAACCAAAAGATAAGAGTTCACATTTGAAGACTTTCTCTGTAACAAACTATAATCTACACCGATTACCATTAATTAATGGCAACTAATACACAAAAGTAAATAATAGATACTTTTGCTTTAACAAGCTACTAAAATCAAACTACATGGAGCCATACAGCATGGAAACAGACCCTTCAGCCCAACACATCTGAGTTGACCAGACATCTCAATGTGACCTAGTCCCATTTGCCAGCATTTGGCCCATATCCCTCTAAACCCTTCCTATTCATACACCCATCCAGATTCCTTTTAAATGTTGCAATTGTACCCATCTCCACCACTTCCTCTGGCAGCTCATTCCATACATGCACCGCCCTCTGCATGAAAATGTTACCCTTCAGGTCCTTTTTATAAACTTTTCCCTCTCACCTTAAACCTATGCCCTCTAGTTCTGGACTCCCCCACCCTAGGAAAAAGATCTTGGCTATTCACCCTACCCACACTCCTCCTGATTTTATAAACCTCTATAAAGTCAACTCTCAGTCTCTGACGCTCCAGGGAAAAAAAGCTCCAGCTCATTCAGCCTCTCCCTGTAGTTCAAACCCTCCAGTCCTGCCAACATTCTTGTAAATCCTTACTGCACTTTTTTTTTACGTTTTAACAACATCTTCCCTATAGAAAGACGAGCAGAATTGTACACAGTATTCCAAAAGTGGCCTAACGAATCTCCTGTATTGCCACAATATGACATCTCAATCCTGCACTTAATGTTATGACCAACGAAGGCAAGCATGCCACACCTTCTTCACTAGCCTGTCTACATACTTGGGCCTGAGGAACTACTGCAGAGACGCTCTGGAACTGAGATGACTGACCTCCAACAACCACAACCATCTTCCTATGTGCCAGGTGTGACTCTGACCAAAGAAGAATTTTCCACTGGATTCCCACTGATTCTAATTTTCCTAGGGGTCCTCAGTGCCACACAATCAAATTCAGGTTTGATGTCTAGGGAACCTTTGGAGGAGGCTGAAATGAATCATCCACTCAGAACTTCTGGCTGAAAATTGTTACAAATACTTCAGCCTATCTTTTGCACTGATGTTCTGGGCTTCCCCATCATTCATAATAGCAATATTTGTGGAACCTCCTCCTGCAGCAAACTGTATAATTGTCCACCACCATTCATTACAGGGGCAGGGCTGCAGAGATTAGATCTGATCTGTTGGTTCCAACATCACTTAGCTCTATCTATTACTTGCTGCTTATGCTGTTAGGCATCAAGTGGTGTGTTTTATAGCTTCACCGGGTTGACATCTCATTTTTGGGTCCTCCTGCACTCTTCAGTGAATGAGGGTTGATCCCCTGACTTGATGGTAATAGTTGAGTGGGGGATATGCTGGACCATGAGTTTGCAGATTGTGCTGGAGTACAATTCTGCAGCTGCTGACAACCTTATGGATGCCCAGTCTGAGTTGCTAGATCTGTTCAAAATCTTGTCCCATTTAGCACAGTATTAGAGCCATATAACACAATGTAAAGTATTGTCAATCTGAAGGCAGGACTTCATCTCCACACGGACTATGCGGGGATCATTTTACCAGAATGGTCAAGGACAGATGCAACTGCTGCAGGGAGACTGGTGAAAATAAGGTCAAGTATGTTTCCCCTTGTTGGTTCCCTCACCACCTGCCACAGACCTAGCCTAGCAGCAACATCCTTTAAGATCAGCAGTGCTGCTACCAAACCACTTTTGGACATTGAAATCTCCTAACCAGTGTACATTCTGCAATCTTACAAGTGGTCCTCAGCAAGGAACTGTACTGTCACGTCAACTGGGTTGCAGTATGTGATAGAGAGTAGGAAGCTTTGTAGCCCATGATTGACCTGCTGCCAAATGAACACAGAGTAATGATAAAACATGGGATCTTCATGATCTATTGCTCATTCACATAATTCAACACAGAAAACCGCTGAATAAATGTGGTTCTGAATCATACAGAACAGGGAGTCACATAAAAAGAGAAAAATATCTGAGTACTCAAGTTAGGCAGTGTATTTTTTCATTTTTTAAGGATTATTTTGCCTAATATTGACTTGAAATAGTGCGCTTCCTGGCACTTTACTCTATTGATATGTAAAGATTTTCTCCACGCAGGACATTACACTTCACTTTTACAATCCATATGAGACTGTAATGCTTGTTGAATAAGTTGTTTGTTGTAATTATGGTAATTTTCCAAATAGTGTGCGCTTTGATGATAATACTGCAGGTATTGAAACATCAGTACTGACATTCAGATTTCAGAAAGTTACACTTATAATATTTGCAGCCCTAACAGTACTTTGTTTTCTTAACACACTTTTCAATACCTCTACACCTTGATCACAGACTCAAAAAGATCATTTCAAGCTAACTTGTTTTAGTTCTCCTGAGCTAAATGTTTATTAAAAATTATTAGCGGATACATCACCCCTTCAGCCATTTCTCAGCAAGGTTGAGAGGGCTTAAAAATATTTCAGGAGCTGCTACACAGTTTATTTTGAGGTTATTTAATGTGTAGTAGTTTGCATCCAGCATTGTTTAAATAAGATCAATCCTTTTGCATTCAGAGCAGCTAAGGCTGCCCAATACAGATAATGTATAGTACATACTTAGTAGTTGACCAATATTTAGATGCATGGCATTATAAAGCCCAAGAACAATGCAATGCCATCTCTTGATTGCACATACTAGTTAATCTGCATGTCCACCTTAAAAATGGAGCCAATATCTTGGGGTAGGACAGACCATGCTGTCATGGGAAAAAGCTGGAGCTGATATCTAATATCTGAAAAGCTACATGGGCTAAGGTTTTCAAATGGCTGTGTATTTCCTATATTTTCAAGCTGATATACAGTTCTTAGATGACATATGCTTTGTGCATGCATCATTCTAAAATAAAAATAGTTCTGTACTGTACAGGACTGGTCATTTTTTAAAAAATTCCAAAATTCACGGTAATCAAAAAGAAACTTATAGGAATTTTCTGAGGGAAATTTAAAAATTAAAATCTTATAATGCACACTGTACTGTTGCAGCTTACACAAAAATTTGGATTTTTTGGGGCAGTCAAAAAAATCTATTAATGTGCAATATTAATAGTACACAAAAACAATACTGGGCACGAGGCCATAAATACACTGGAATTTCAGGATCAATATATTTGATAAAAAGTGGAACAGACCATACATGAAGTGGTACACATTGAAAATCACTAATAAAATGCCACCCTCAAAACAAAAATCAGAAGATTTGAAGTGGGAATGCAGCAATGACGATAGACTCAGTAATGGGACACAAATCCCCTATTTCAGGTGGATAAAGAACAGATAAATAGGTAAGATTCTCATCTGTCCAAGAAATAGGCTCCAGATGATCCATAAGACAATTAAAATAGTCAGATGCATAGAGTAGGCATTATGCTACCATCTGGTGCATCAAAGGTCCTCTTCATCTAAAAACCAGTCACTTTCTCTGAATGTTGTCCTTCCCCATATCGCCAACTCCTCTCAACAACATTTTTTTCTAAATAACACTTGCTTCCACTGGATCACCAAGAATGAAGAAGATCCATTCTTTAGCATCTTTCTGTCTTTTCTGGTCTTGTTCAAAAAAATATGAGGTTGCGAGTAAACTACTTGGAAGCAACTTGCTTGTTAAGTGGGAGTTATTTCATTATTTTCAAGCGTGCTGCGAAGTTTCTTATGTCCTTACGAAATCAGGCACTTGTCTTGTTAAAAAAGCTGCTTGAAATGATAAAAACAGTCGACAGCCTCTGCTGTAATCATTCAGCAGCAGTGATTGTATGTCCAAACGGATGCTCTAAACATTGAGAATTTCAAATTCTTCCTCTGACTCAAACAGCTTGTCGGCTGGCTCAACAAACTCTGTGGGTCGAAGACAAAAGAAAATTATCAATGGTACAAAACAAACACAGATTATCACATCATTACAAGACCTCAAGAAATAGGAAGAGAAGTAGGCCAGTCAGCTCCTTGAGCCTGCTCCACCATTTGAAAGGATCATGGCTGATCTCTCATTCCTCACGTCCACTTTCCTGTCCTTTCCCCATAACCCTTAAAATCCTTAACTGATCAAGAATCCCTCTATCGATCTCAGCCCTAAATATACACAAGGATTCTGTCCACAAGTCTCGGTGGTAGGGAGTTCCAAAAACTCTCAACCCCTCTAAGAGAAAAAATTCTTACTCTTCTCAGTCTTAAATTGGTGACCTTTCATTCTGAGAACTGGTCCTCTAGTCCTAGACTCTTCTGTGAAGGAAATATCCTCTCAGCATTTACCCTACCCTATACATCTCAATGAGATCACCTCTCATTCTTCTAAACTCCAGGAAGAAGAGTCCCAACCTGTTTGGCCTTTGCTCATAAGTCAACCCTTCCATCCCAGGGATCATCCTAGTGAATCTTCTCTGAACTGCTTCCAATGAAACAATATCTTGAATTAAATAATGGGACCAAAACTGCTCACAGTATTCTAGAGATAGTAAGAACTGCAGATGCTGAAGAATCTGAGATAACAAGGTGCAGAGCTGGATGAACACAGCAGGCCAAGCAGCATCAGAGGAGCAGGAAAGCTGACGTTTCGGGCCTAGACCCTTCTTCAGTATTCTAGATATAGTCTCACCACCACCTTGTACAGTTGCAGTAAGACTTCCTCACTTTATATACCAACCCCCTTGAAATAAGGACCTGATTACCTGCTGCACCTGAATGCTAGCTTTCTGTGTTTCATGCACAAGTACCCCCAAGTCCCTTTTTGTTGCAGCTTTCTCCATTTAAGTACTAATACAGTGAAATTATTGAAAAGAAAACTTTAGAACAGATAAAGGTAAAACATTTTGATTCAAAGTGATCAATAGAGCTCATGCAAGGACACAGAGGCAAAATCATTCGGATTATTCAGCATACGATTAGATATGGAGTCATGATGCACCATAGCACTGAGCTTTAAGTAAGTTGTTTAATCAAACCTTGCGCAGCCTGAATTTCCGTTCATAATTGTTTTGATGCAGCAAAATAGAAACTTTTTTTTAAAATATAGAAGTATCAAAGGAACACAGCAACAAAAACAACTTACAATTATATCAGACCTTTTATGTAACAAACTGTATCATGGCATTTTAATGAAGATTGATGGGAACAGCAGAAAATATAGGAAAATTCAGAAAAGCTAAGAGATGGCAAAATGAAGACATTTTGGGAAGTCTTTTGAAGGAGAATAAAAGAGCAGCAAGCCAAAGATGTTTAAGGAAGAAGTTTTGCCAAGCTTTGTAGAGTGGAAATAATGTTCTAGACCAGAATTATAAGGATGGAGTGCTTGCTGAGATGTGGTACTGGAAAAAGAGAACTGAACTGCAATGGATTTAAATACTGAAAGAACTGACAGTCCATAACCTTTTTCCTGGGGAGAAGATAATAAGCCAGTCAGACCAGGATAATAGGTGTACCAGACATTATGCAAAATAGGACATTAATGCAGTGCTGGTACAGGTTGAAATGGGAAAGGTTGGCATGGAGGTTATAGGTAGCCTTGAGGTGACCACTGGGGTTAATGCAGGGATAAACTTAATGAATAAGATTTTAGCACAAATCTTACCTGCTCCTGTGGTCTGCACTTCAGGTTTGGTCGCAGGTACAAAAGGAGGCCAGTGCGCAGGATGCTTCTCGACCAATTCAAACATTCGAAAGTTTCGTGTCTTCAGAATTTCCTATTGTTATGTACATCCACAACATTAGGCATACGTCAACACAAATTTTATGTTACATCCCTCTCAGATACCAATGCTTTTGACATGAACTTAGAAAATCCCACAGAAGATCCTTTTTCAAAATGTCAAACCTTTATTTTTGAAATGCTTTGCGTTGTCATTTATGCAAAGAACCAATACGTATGCCCAGTGAACAAGGAGGCTGTAATCTACTAAATGTTACAAGTTTTCTTTATTTTAAATGAAGCATTATTAAGAAAATTAAAATTATCTGGAAGAGCACCGAATACAAATAACACAAATCTCAGTGCTAAATTAAATCAACATCAAATTCACCCTCTGGGAAAAACTAGAATCTTTCCAAATGGAAAATATGACACATCATCTCAAATTTCACATAACACCTAAAAAGAATTGCATTTTCTCTAAAGTTTCCCCATTGGCAATTTTTAAAATGTTTTCATGGGACATGAGCATCATGGGCAAAGGTCAGCACTCATTGTTCATCCTTAGTTGTCCTTGAGGAAGTGGTGGGGAGCTGCCTTCCTCAACTGTTGCAGCTCATCTGGTGCCAATTTACCCACCATGCTGTTATAACAGGAGTTCCAGGATATTGACCCAATGATAATGAAAGAACTGTAATACAGTTCAAAGTCATGTGGAGTATGGCTTGAGTGGAAATAGCGGGTGGTGTAGTGAGAATTAAATAAGATTTTATAAATGAGTGTTCCAAATGGAGTAAGAGACATTTTATAAGCTAGTACTGTAAGGCACATTTAGCAGGCAAAACGTCGAACACCCAAAGCACCCATGTCAGCTGGAATTACTGGAGAAGAACCTTTTATCTCCTTGTATCAGCCTTGGGAGGAGACTAGAGAGTATAAACAGATTCCTACCATGGAAGATTTTGTGTTTATTGCACAAGGATGAAATGTAAACAGTGCATGTGGTCGTGGAGGGGAGTGTATAAAGGTTAATGATTTTCTGCATGTATTGGACAGAAGTTAGACAGAGTATCAGACAGAATCTGGTTTAGATGGTCAGGCTCTCGCTCTGAGGTTGTTTGAACAAACACAAAGTTAACCAGCATTCTTGAATCTTCTTAAGTTCTGTGTAAGAGAATTAACTAAAACAATGGTGTAGTTGAGAAGGGCAATCGTATTGGATCCTTGGAATAGTATTATTGGGTATTGTAAAAATAAGCTTCATCAAGTGTCTAACTTGACATGTCCAGGTGTCCAATGAAAGCAAATATATTGGCATTGGGCGCAAACATCGGGAAAAAAATTTAAATTTCTGTGGCATTTGTATCTTGAGGTGAAATAAAATAATTTGCAATCTTTTAAAATAAATATATGATCTTATAAGCCTTGGTGTTGCATGTTTACAGATATTCAAATATGGAGGCATCATGGTTACTTCAATTCATTCTTAATTCATTGCTCTTTCAAAACTAAAACACAGTCTTAACCATATTTCCTTCAATCTCATGTAATCTTCACAGATTTCACCTTAAATGTTAATTCATAAAAGAGGAATCAGAATTCAGAATAAAAATAAAAAAAAGTTTAATTTTGTACCTTTCGTACAGAATTGCACCAGCTTTCAAAATCTCTTTCAGTGTTGCAAAAAAATCCCTGCAATGAGAAACATACGTCATGCAATATATGAAAAGGAAGACTGAGTGTAAGCTCATGCAATGAGACATGGATGAATGTGGATGAGTGTTCAATCTGTCTCAGACAAATTGCCAGCAAGTTGCATTTGTGTAAGAGAATTATTTTCCCACAGGAAGGTAAGTGGGAGATGCAAAGACAAAGAACAATAAGCTCCAAGACAATCTTTGATCCCAGCCCTCGCCTCAAAGTGGTACTCTTCAAGATTTGAAAGCAGTTAATGATTATTTTTCTTTAAGGTCCCCAGACAGAACAAATCTCTGGTGCATGATGTATTTCTCAAACAAGTTTCCTCATTGCTCAAAACTACTCAAAGTGTGACAATTCTTTAAGGTTTTAGCAAAGATTTGTAGCTCGGGTTGTGGGTGAGGTTGTTGACTTGCTCGCCGAGCTGGCTTGTTTTCATTCAGACGTTTCGTCACCATGCTAGGTGACATCATCAGTGGAGCCTCCGATGAAGCGATGGTATTCTACTCTGCTTGGAATTTATACTGTCCAGTCCGTTATGGTGAGTAGTGTCATTTCTGGTTTTGTTCTGTATGGGTTTGTATATAAGGTCCAATATACAATCGCTTCATCGGAGGCCTCACTGATGATGTTACCTAGCATGGTGACGAAATGTCTGAATGAAGACAACCCAGCTCGGCGAGAAAGTCAACAACCTGTGACAATTCTACATGTTATTGGGTTTCTTTTTATTCATTCATTGGATGAGGGCATTACTGGTTAGGCCAGCATTTATTGTTCATCCTTAATTGCCGAGAGGGTAGTTAAGAGTCAACCACATTGCTGTGGATCTGGAATCACATGCAGGCCAGACCAGATAAGGATGGCAATTTCCGTCCCTTAAGGACATTAGTGAACCAGATAGGTGCATTTCAGTCAATGAGAGAAATCAATATCAAGCTGTGAAATAGAATCAAGATCCTCATGGGGAGTTACTAATACCCCTTGTTAGCTTAACAATGAAGCACAACTATGCCTATGTCTAATAACCATCTAGTGACTAGCCCCATTGATGTAGAAATGAGGGAAAAGCTGCATTTGGTTGGAGTTATTATTTCTGAGATGATGTGCTTAATCATTGAAAATGAGAACTTGCAACATTTGGTGGAAGGTTCTGTATACAATACCCGAGTGAGACAAATTCGCAGTACTCAATGGAACTGCTAATGATTAACATGCAGGCCTGTTTTGGTAATACAAATTGTGGCAATATATCTGTCATCACAGATGACTGCAACTGTTCCCATTTCATGTCAGGTTGTCCTGTAAGTCAATGATCTAACAAGTAGGGTGGTCTTTGATGGACAAATAGTGGGAAACATTGCAGATCTCTTCACTGGACTTTATAGTTTTCTGCTTTCATTCATGGTTTGTAGGCATTGTCGAGAAGGCCAATATGTATTGCCTATTCCTAACTGCTCTTGAACCATGCAGTCCACGTAGAATAGGTACACTCACTGCTGTTAAGAAGGGAGTTCCAAAGTTTTGATCCAGCAACAATTAAAGAACAGTGGTAAAGTACCAGGTCAGATTATGAGTGACTTGTAGGGGAATTTGCAGGCATTCTCATCCTCCTGATACCCTTTCTTTTAAAATTCACTCGTGGGATGTGATGCCATTGGCTACCCAGCATTTATTGCCTGTCCCTAATTGCTTGAGAAGGTGGTGGTGAGCTGCCTTCTTGAACCACTGCAGTCCACATGCTGTAGGTTGACCCACAGTGTCCTTAGGTAGGGAATTCCAGAATTTTGACCCAGTGATATTGAAGAAATATTGATGTATTTCCAAGTCAGGATGGTGGGTGGCTTGGAGGGAAACTTGCAAGTGCTGGTGTTCCTATGTATCTGCTGCGCTTGTCCTTCTAAGTGTAAGCGATTGTAGGTTTGGAAGGTGCTCTCTAAAGATCTTTGAAGAATTTCTGCTGTGCATTTGGAGACAGCACACACTGCTAATACGGAGAGTGAGTATTGGAGGAAATGAATGCTTGTGGATATGGTGCCAATCTAGCAGACTGCTTTGTCCTGGACGATGTCAAGCTTCTTGAATGTTGGAGCTACAGCCATCCAGGCAAGTGGGCAGTATTCCATCACACTCCTGATTTGTACTTTGTAGATGGTGGACTGCTCTTGTGGCCATTATGTTTATGTGGTGAGTCGAGCTGAGTTTCTGATCCATGGTAACCTCATTGTTGATAGTTAGGGATTCAGTGATGGTAAAACCATTGAATGTCAAAGAGCGGTGGTTAGATTGCTTCTTATTGGAGATGGTCAATGCCTGGAATTTGTGTATTGTGAAAGATGCTAGCAGCTTGGAGTTTGGAAAGTACTGTCAAAGGAGCCTCAGTGAATTGATGCAATACATCTTGTAATGGCATACATTGCTGCCACTGAGAACTGATATTGGAGGGGGTTAAATATTTAAGATGGTGGACAGCATGTCAACCAAATGGGCTGTTTTGTCCTGAAAGACCTAAAGCTGATAGTGTTGTTGGAGGTCGATCAACATCCAGTCAAGTGGGCAAAACGCCATCAGACACTTGAATTGTTCCTTGCAGGTGGCAAACCGTTTTTGAGAATTCAAGAAGTTAGTTGCTTACTCCAGAATTCCCAAACTCTGACCTGCTGTTGTGGCAATAGCATTTACATAGCTGGCCCAGTTAGGTTTTTGGTCAATGGCAAGCTCAAGGATATTATTGAGCGATTCAGCAATGGTAAAGCTGTTTAATGTCGAGAAATGGTCATTGTCTGGCTCAAGTTTTGCTTTCTGCTAAACAGCCTGAATGTTATCCAGGTATTCCTGCACATGGGAAGAGACTGCTTTATTTTGAGAGTGGCCATGAATAGATCCAGAAACTGCAATCATCAGCGAAATTCCTAACTTGACCTTAAGGCAGACTAAAGGTAATTGGAGAGGTAGCTGAAGATCGTTGGGCATAGGAGACTGGCCTGAGGAATTTCTGCAGTGATGGTTTGGCTGAGATGATTGACTTCCAACTACCATAACCATCTCCTTTTGTGCTGAATATGACTCAAAACAGTGGAGAGCTTTTACCCATATTTCCATTGACTTCAAATTTATGGTGGTGCAATATTTGATTAAATTGATTAAATGCTGCTTTGATAGCAGGAGCATTCACACTCGGCTCACCCCTGGAATTTAGTTCTTCTGTCCAAATTTGGAACAAGACTGTAAAGGAAGTCAGAGATGAGCCACCCTGGCAAAAACTACATTGAGGACAGGTGAGCATGTTATTGATATCCCAATTGTCGAACCCATCATTTTGCTTATGAAAAGTAACTGATGGAAGTAGTAATTGGTCAGCTTGGATCTGTCCTGATTTTTGTGAACAGGATATCTGCACAATCTTCCACATTGCCAGTCTCATGGCTCTACTAGAACAACTTGACTAAGGACACAACCAGTTTCAGATAACTTCACATGGAGTAAATCAAACTAAATGAGGAGTGGCATCTGGAGGAGGCTGAGAAGAATTATTCACTTGGGACTTATGGCCAGACATTATTGCAAGTGCTTCGGCTTTATCTTTTGGATTGACTTACTGAGTTCCTCCAGCATTGAGCCTCTTCCTCCAATTAGTTGTTTAATTTGTTCACTTTCATTAGCAGGGAAATGGAACTAGTTTAGTTTGGGAAAATTGGTCAGCATGGACAAGTTGGACCGAAGGGTCTGTTTCTGTGCTGTATGACTCTATGCCTGCATGTAGTAGCCGTTAGATCTTTTATTTGATACCTTGATGGCAACATTGCTTAGTTCTGTATAATGCATGCATGGGACCTTGTTTTGTAGAATTTCATATTTTGGAATGCCTGTTGCACTCTCTCAGAGTGAGGGTTGAGCTATCCCATGAGATTACAGTTGAATACAATTCTGCAACTGTTGATGGCTCCTAGTGCCTCATGGATGCTCAGCTGAGCTGCATGATGGAGAATGTCCTCAGTGTGAAGACAGGACTTACCTTCACAGGACTCTGTGATGGTCACTCCCACCAATACTGTCACGGACTTCTGTTACAGGTAGACTGGCAAAGACAAAGTTAACTATGTTTTTGTATTGTTTCTTTCCTGTCCTTCAAGACTTGGATTGCTCTGTTAGTGGTAGTTCTACTGAGCATTCTTGGTAATAGATGTTAAAGTCTCTAGCCCAAGTGTTTTCTATCAGTGGTTCTTCCAAGTATGTTCAACAAACAGTGTGGATTAATCAGCTGAGGCAGAGCATTAGTTAGTAATCAGCCCATGTTTGATCTGTTGCCTTGAGGCTTCAGGGGTGTGGATTCAGTGTTTGGGACTCCCAGAGTCATTCCTTCATGATTGTGACAGTTCACCACTGTGCTGCCACATCAGGTATGGAAATTTAGAAGTCTGGGCAAAGGACTGTAAGTTATGATATTGTATGACTATGTCAGGCTTGGGGGATACAGGGAATGTCTTTATTGTTTTAGAGCCTGTCAATGATGGATGATCCATCAGCTTTTATTCTTATTCAACATTTCTATCACAATTTGATACGGCTGACTGGCTTGGTTGTTAAAGCAAGCGTAAACCACTTTGCTGAGTTGAGAATCATTCATTAGGTACAGATGACAAATTTCTCTCACTAAAGGATATTAGTGAGACAGATAGGATTATTGTAGAAAAATCTATAGTCCAAACCAGCAGATTTAATTAACTGAATTTAAATTCCCAGTGGCTGCATTTGAATTACTGTCTTCAGTGCATTAATCCAAGCATCTGGACTGTTCATCCAGTGACATTATCACCTTGCAACTATCCCGTTGATAGAAAGATTGTGGTTCTACATTGTTGCACAAACGGGAACACTGGTCCTTGATTGTTGCTATCTTGTGTTCAGGTTGTTTAGACTTATTTAATAGAGAAAACAGGATACATTTCATTTTGAGCAAATAGGATCCTCCTGTGTGGCTTTCTCAGTAACTTAGAGCAAACGTTTCCCTTTCCTAAAGTTTTGGTGGGGTTGGGGGATGGAAGCAACTGACATGCACCTCCAATACCCGAGTATCTTGCCCTATCGCAGGCCTTGACACCAGTGACCCAGGCCTACTCTTCAGGGGATCCAGCTTGAAGAAAATGTCATGCTTTTCTTCTTGGGTTTTGGGTCATGGAGAAAGGGATCATTGGCTTGGAAATGGGTCGGGAAATAAATGGCAGGGAGTGGCTCTTCCCCACCCCGATCTGTGCCTCTGGATTACACAGAGATTGTTTCCCAGTCAGGAACCTAGCTGCTTTTTTGCCTGCTGGCAAGGTGTTTGGGAAGATGGTGAGTTGAGGTCCTTAAATGGCCATTAATTCACCAACTGCTGACAAGTCAAGCAAGTTCCCAATGGACCTTCTCACCCAGCACTTAACTAAGGTGGTGGTGAAAAGGATGTGAATTGCTCTTGAGGTCTAACACACCCAATTATTTCTCCTTCCACCATCTCTGGGCAAGGGAAAATTGCACTCTTCCTGTTATGACTCTCAAGCTTAGCGATGGGCCTCTTTATAATCAAATAAACAGTTGGATAAGGGCACTTCCTGTCATCCCATTTATAAGTATTGACGTGCGACTCAGACAGAAATGCATATAGAATTTATCCTTAATGCTAGGGCAAAGTAAAGAACATTTATTCAAAAATATTCATTCGGTGGGACATAAAGCCTTCCTGTGGAGATTTTCTTGCTCTTAACTGGGCTGTATAGCTGTTTACAGACCAAGAATATAGGAAGCAACCTGGCAGCAAGGTGCTTTCCCAAGGAGTACTCGTATAAATCTGCTGTAAATCAAATGACACTGTACTTCCGAACAGCTGGTGTGCAATAACATTGGCAGGATGTAAACAGTGGTGCTCCCAAGGGTCATATTCACACTGTTGCAATATGTATTTTTTCATATACAGATATATTATAAAGGATCTGGAATTGTGGTAAACAGGGGACAACAGTGAAATATTCAGGTGACACAAAAATAGCAAGTACAATGAGGATTAGGATTTTAATAAGTTATTTCTACTCGTCAGAGTTGATATGCTAGGAAGGCTGATTTTTTAAGATCATGAAAAACACAAAATGAATAGTTGCCATTTTAATTCATTCATAGGATGTGGATGTCCGGCAGGGCTAGCATCTATTGTCCATCCCCAATTGTTTTTGAAATACAATTGCTTGTCAGGGCGTTTAGACAGCAATTAGGAGTCAACCAAATTGCTATGGGTCTGGAATCACATTAACTAACCTGGATAAGAATGGTAGATTTCTTTCTATAAAGAATATTCATGAACCAGATGTGTTCTTAAGATAACGCAGTAGTTTCCATTACGGCCACTAGCTTTTTATTGCAGGTTTATTTGATTAACTGAATTTTAAATTCCTTGGCTGGTACTATGGAATTTTAATTCATGTTGAGGGTTAGAAATATTCTTACATTGATAGTTATTAGGATATGAAACACAGTCCCAGAAATTGTCGTGGAAATAAAATTACTTTTTTTTTTAAACATGGATGTGAGGAAATGGAAAAGAAATGGGACTGAGTGTCTTGTGAGATAGTTCAGCCACAGTGGACCAGATGAAGTCATACTATCAAACTCTGATTCTGTGAACTCAACAATGCAACACAATTTCTGTTTCATGTCATACCATGAAGTGTATACAGGATACCTAAATTTATAGGTCCAACTCAACAGTCTGGTCAATCAATATTATTGCAAGAAGTTCAGAGAAAACCCACTTTGGAAATACAATCTTTGCTTCATCGGCTGCCTATAAAGTTCTCCCAGAATTCTAAAAATTAGGCTGAGAGAAATTCTAGGTTTCCTGTTCAGCGCAGCACTATAAATCTTCCATCTATTAACAACCATTAAAGATCAAGAGGAGGGGAAGGCCTAATAATATTATTGCTAGACTTTAATCTAGGGACCGAGGTAATGCTCTGGGATCCAGGTTCGAATCCTGCCATGGTTGATGGTAGAGTTTAAATTCAATAAAAATCTGGAAATAAGGGTTACAAATTGTCAGGAAAAACTCATGTGGTTCACTGATGTCCTTTAGGAAAGGAAACTGCCATGCTGACTTGGTCTGGTCTACATGTAACTCCAGACTGACAGCAATGATTGACTCTTAACTGCCCTCTCGGCAATTAGGGATGGGCAATAAATGCTGGCCTAGCCAATGACATTCCCATCCTGTGAATGAATAAAAGAAAAATTCATTAAAAATTCTTGCAACTCATCACTACTTGTATGCCGTCTAACATAATGGCCTACTCCTGTTCCTATTAACATTGAGAAAGGTTTTTTTACTCATAACCACATCACCATTTTGTCAGCAGATGGTGCTATGACACTTTTGTATAGGTCTAGAATTGTATTCCTTGCTTCATAAAGAAAAGTGGAAATGAGTTTTCCCCCCATCTTAATATTTAAATTTTTATCTTTCATTGCAAAATGTTAGCTTGGTACTACCCAACTACAATATGTTAAAAATGTAGCATGGGTTCCCCAAAATGCTCGAAAGAAATTCAACAAAGGACAGGAAGCAAAAGGTAGACAAATAAAAAAGTGAAAGCAGCCTAGTGCAGGTTTCAAGATAAGATACCAAGAAATTCACAAGCGTTCCACTCCTTTGTGTAAGGCGTTATTTCAAATTCTTGATTAGGCTGAAACAGTTGAAAGGCTAGATAACTTAGATGGGATATTGAAGAAATAAAAAAAGATTTGCACTAGGCTGAGGAAAGATTAAAACAAAATATATATTTAGGCACGAAGTAAATTTTAAAACACACAACCAAAACAACAAAAAAATTAAAGGAAAACACCTGAAAGAGCTAAAGCTAAAAACAGGGTATCGAGTAAAAAAATTAAACAGCAAAGAGTGGTGCTTAGAACATAAGAAATAGGAACAAGAAAAGATCATTCGGCTCTGTAGGCTGTTCCTCCATTCAATTCGATCATGGCTGATTTTCCACCTCACTCCACTTATTTGCCTGCTCCCCACATTTCTTTGACTTCCTGACAGGTCAAAAATCTGTTGATCCACTCGTTACATATACTCAGGAATGGTGAATTCACAAAGGTTCCAAAGATTCACAACCTTCTGAGAGAAGAAATTACTTCTCACCTTAGTCCTAAATAATCAACTCTTTACACTAAAACTGTGTCTCCTTCTTCTAGATACCCCAGGCAGGGGGAAAAAAACACAGTACAATTTCCCAGATATATCAAATTAAAAGAAGACATCAAAAGTAGTTGTTACAATGAGGTATATCTGTTGTAGATGTTTTACACAAGAAAGTCAGATACTGTTCAAGGCTTCCCTTCTGAATCAATCTTTCTACTGAGCATCAAAGGAAACTCTAGGCATGTACTTGGATACTGAAACAAAAACAACAGAGCAAGGTTACACAAAAGACTACCAGTTAAGCTTAAAGCCTTGATGACTGAAGACAAATAGAGTCATAGAGCTATACAGCATGGAACAGACCCTCAGTCCAACTCGTCCATGCCGACCAGACATCCTAAATTCCCTCTAGCCTTGCCTATTCATCTACCCATCCAGATGCCTTTTAAGTGTTGTAATTGTACTAGCCTCCATCACTTCCTCTGGCAGTTCATTCCATACATGCACCACCCTCTGCATGAAGAGGTTGCCCCTTAGGTCCCTTTTAAATCTTTCCCCTCTCACCTTAAATCTATGCCCTCTAGTTTTGGACTCCCCTACTCTGAGGAAATGACCTTGGCTATTCATCCTATCTATGCTCCTCATGATTTTATAAACTTCTATTGTGAATAAATATGAAACTGACTGAAAAAAATAACAAAAAACTACAGTAGATGATGCTCACCAGGAACTGCAGATTAAGAAGAAAAAAATTAAACATGGTTGTGTATAAGTGAACAAGGTCTATAGGTTTTAGAAGATGATGTCTAATGTTTAAGCACTTGATAAACATTTGGATATTTCACCTTGAAAAGGATGAAACTGGTAGGTGGTGATCTCACAAACAGTAAACATGCAATGGTGACATGAGGAAAATATCTTTTGTGCAGCAAGTGGGTATGATCTGGAATGTTACTAAGTGAATTACTTCTACAAAGCGCAAACACAGACGCAACCTATGATAATATCATCATGACGAATCTATTCTGGACATGCCACGTGCTATTAGTGCTATCCAGTTGAAAATCGGATCCTGATTTAAATATTTAAATACTTCTCATGGATACCGATTGGGATACTGTTATTTGTCGTGCCTTCTTCTGGCTGCAGGAGGGAGCTAGAGAAGTTGAACTTGTTACTGGTTCTCATCCTGGTGGCTACGGACTTATGTTTGGCTCCAATCTATTGCTTAGACAAAATAGTACTGACTTTTGTGAGTCTGATCACAGAATCAATCACTCTCGGTTCAGACAGCAAACAATAAATTGAGTAGTATTACTCACTAAAGCTACAGAAGGATCAAGATGTGTAATTTTCATACGATGTGGTATTCGCTGGCAGTGATAACTGTAATCGTCCACACTCCCATCATCCTCTGTGTCTACTGCAGCTTGAGTCGTATGAGGATCCAAATAGATTAGTTCATCTCCTGTGTAGACAAAATATTCGGTGCAAGAGCAGATGAATGATGCAAATAAAATTTAGTAACTGCGCAATACAAAGCTTTGAAGAGATAATTTGTTTCAAATAACTACTATATCAAAAAAGTGACTAATGTACACACTGTAAAATTTTGTCATTATACACAGTGTCCGTTGTGCGATAAATATATTCATTCTACAAAAGTTGTACATTACAGGCTGTTCCTAGCCCACTTGGTACCTCAAAGGAACTCCCAAAGACCGTTACGGTAAATTCTTATAACTGTGGAATCTTTGAAAATCCAAGCATAAAAAGCAGGGAACAATCAGGCATCTTCAGCCAAGGTACCTACTGTCAGTATACCATGTCATTATTCATTATCACATGGACTGTACCCTTTTATCTCTAACATTGGAGGCTTTTGCACTTTCTCAGTATTAACAATACTGAGCACCACATCAGCACATGATCATAGATAAATTTGAACAACAAAGACATAGGGTACTCGAGAATACAATGTTATTTTAATAGATCCAGATCATGACTAGGAACCAATTAACAAAAAGAGGAAATAACAACAAAAGGGGGCGTGTTTGTTCAATACTACATTAATAATATTTAAAAGGTATAATGCCTTGCATAAAAGATAAATACATACCAAAACCCAACAAGCTTAGATTAAATGGTATACAAACAGGAGGCTGAAAGAACACAGCAAGCCAGGCAGCATCTGGAAGAAAGGAAAAGCCAACGTTTCAGGTTTTACCCTTCTTCAGGACCTGAAGAAACATTGAATTCTCCTTTCTTCCAGATGCTGCCTGGCTTGCTGTGTTCTTCCAGCCTCCTGTCTGTCTGCCTTGGATTCCAGCATCTGCAGTTTTTTTTGTCTCCAAGCTTAGATTAAAATAAGGTAATACTGGATGAAGAAAAATTACAAATGATAATCTCAAAACCTTTACAAATATTGTAGGGATAATTAGAAAAAAGGCAAAAACAAGTCAAAAGGAATGATCAGGTAGGCAGAGAGCCTTTAATGCACAGCTGCTGTGACTAAATATAGCAAAAAGAACCACTGTGCACGACAAACAGTTACAGAAGATGTGGATCAGTGTGATGACGAGCTGAATTAAAATGACAGTTAGTCATTCAGCAAAGATTATCAGACAATATCAGCAACTCACCCTACTTGGCAGAACAGGAAAATGTTACATTCTGAATGGAATACTACACCTTCTTGTGCCAGAGCTCTAAAGCAATGTTTATAAAAAACAGAATGCTGTACATTACTCTAACTATTCTGTATTCTATTCTGATTTATTCACCATGCAATATGATTTGTCTGTAAGTAAATTGCAGGATTTCCTTTATCCTTCGGCATTACTTAGTGCCAATATTATAATTTTAAACTGCTACTGAAACTGGTCACTCAAGTAATTATATTCAGTACTCACCAAGAAATCCTATAAAATAATATGCATTGTTTGGTTTTCCGCCTAAGACTCCTAAAGACTGAGGCATTTTAAAACATTCCTGAAACAGAAAAGGAAGACAAGATTAACAGAAGTTAAAATAAATGTTTTTAATTATCAGGACAGGGTGGCAGTCCTCAGCTTAACTGACAACATGATTAAAAGTTGACACTAAACTATGAAGACCAAAGTAAAAAGAGTTAATGCTGGATAGATTCAACAGGTCACCCAAACTCCAAACAGAAAAGAATAAATTAATGTTTCAGGTACAAAAACAGAAATTGCTGGAAATGCTCAGCAGGTCTGGCAGCAACTGTGAACAGAAATCAGAGTTAATGTTTTGGGTTGAGTGACTCTTCCTCAGAACTCAATTATGAGGAAGGGTCACTTGGCCAAAACATTAACTCTGATTTCTCTCCACACATACTGCCAGACCTGCTGAGCTTTTCCAGCAATTTTTGTTTTTGTTTTTGATTTACAGCATCCGCAGTTCTTTTGGTTTTTATTTAATGTTTCAGGTAAAAGTGATGTCGAGCATTTAAGTATGCAAGTGACTTAATTAGGGTATATACACTTAAAACAATATTTTGATTTGGGTTGAGCTGAGAAACTTTTCAGAAGCAAAATTTTTGATGTCAAGTTGTTCAACTTTGACAATCACTAAAAAAGCAACAATATTCAGAAGCCAAACTTTTGAATGAATCACATTCGTAATAACTGATAGAATTTGAGCCCTGAGAATGACAGTAGGCTTCTGACTACAAATGTTCTAGAGCTACACTGTTGTGAAACAAAGAGGACAAACAGCCACAATACAGCTCATGTCATTAAACTGATATGGTGCATCTCAGTTTCACCTTCTTCTGGCGCATAAGTCATTCCTCCTTTTAAAAGCACCACCTGGTCTAATGTAAAATCAATAAGCATAAAGGTCAAGAAACCTCCTGACATAGATTACCAGAAAGAGAAGTGAATTTTCAACTTGCCTTTAACGCATTGATGTAAACTGGATTGATGTGGTTTATTCCCATACGTAGAGGTATGATCAGCAAAAGTGGTTTCCAATCCTTACAGTGCACAGATGCAGTCTGGTTTTTGGACACATCGCCTCTGTGTAGTGAGGTATCTGTTTGTAATCTGCAATTTTCAGACCAATGTTTGCAAAGTTTTTCTGAAAGAATTTCAAAAAGAAAAAAGACACATTAGCAACCAACACAGAATACATGGTGTTAAATATGCTTCTTCACTGTGTCAATGACAACATACTAATTGTCTTCAGTGTGACAAGGCCAGCTTGCAAAATTGCATTAATGGTGACATTGTTTGCCAGAAAAGAAGGTTGTTACAGTGGAAATGGTCTGGTAAAATTGGCAATAAAAAGTTATTTAAAGGATAACTCTGCTTAATTTAACTTTTTTAGAGGTAATAGAAGGGAGGAAAAGATGGCTAGTGAGAAGACACCAAAAAGGCATGAAAATAAAACAGTTCATCTGAAGAGTTCGGGAGGAAAAAAAAATTCATGTAAACGTGTTGCGGTATTTTGCCAGAAATATTCTCATCCAAGAGTTCCCAGAATTGCAGCACACAACAATGCACCAAAATAATGAGCGAAATGCACTTTAACACTATTTCTTTTCTCCTGGCACTGAGTTTTCTTTTATAGCTATCAGATACAAAAAGTGGAAAAAACTCAAATGCCATATTATTTTGTAATATATAAAGACAGAAAGTGATATTAAACAAAATTAAGTGTTGCATGATTTAATGTAAAACTTAGGCTAGTAGCCTATCAGGGAAATTACTGACCTAAAAAGAGAAAGCAAAGGTTAAAAGTGTTGGGTCCAAAGTTTACTTACTTTATTATCTCCACTTGTTGGTTATTAATTGTTCACAAATATTTAATTTTAAAAAGATGCATGCTGGTAAAGTGTGAAATGATCGATGTTGTGGATGGAAATATCTTAGTTTAAACAAAACCATGGGTGATGGGGAAACTTTGCTTGTGTAAATTCCAGAACTTCAGATGGCCCGCAGAAGATAGAGTCAAAGGCACTGAAATTCCACCATGGGAATATGAATTCAAAGAAATTCCCCTGTCCAATATTTTATCTGTCTGGCATACAGCTTTATTGACTCATTCTGAGAGGCACTTAGGAATGGACAATGTGTCCCTTTCTGAAGGTATATCCAAAATGTTATTAAGTAGTGAGTTTAAGGGTTTTGACAGGTTGCAATGCAGCCATAAAAATAGCACAAAGGAATTTAGGTGCTCTGCTTTTGAAGACCAATTCTGTCATACCAAAATATCCCAACATGTCATGTTCGTAATTTTGAATCTGGTAAAAGGGGTCATTGTTGGGGTATTAGAGTTGCAAGCAAACAGAAATCTTGTTGAATAAGAGACTTTGAACGATTAGTACACTAGAATACAAGTCTTCCACAACAACATTTTCATGAGGGAAGGGAATCCAATTCCTATGATGCTCTGTGGGCATTTAGCATATGCTCAGCAGAAACAGAGAGCTTTGGAAATCCCCAGGATATACTGTTGGCCATTGATGTGTCAACCAATATCAGTAGCTGTTTATTTTTAAGGAAATGTCCCTACTTATTGGTTCTACATACACTAAAAAATCATGAAACAGTAGGAAAATTAATTCTCACTCAAAAGTATTTTTTCACAATTCTAAACAATTTTCCAATAACCTGTAGGTGTATGGCAGAGAGTGGTGCTGATCTCCACATTCGGCAACTGAATTCAAACCATTGTTGGCCAGCTCAAAATAATTTTTCAAATTCCCATCACGCTGTATTAATTAATGGAGGAAGCATTGTTAACAAAGAAAAATATTAACACTCACTGATATCCTCAATAACTACAGTATTGTCCATGGAAATATAAACTGCCAGCGCATTCCAATCATCAAATAAAGCAAGCTTTCTGTGGAAAAAGAAACATTCTTTTTGTACATGTTTACATTTCGATTTGAAGAACAGGAGAATGGCTGTAGAGGTAATTGCGCAAAGCAGAATAAATCTTAGATCTGAGCTGGTAGCTGAAAAATTTACATAAGACATTTTAAAAAATTCTTCATTCTTCAACAGTCAGAATCTCCTTTACATTATAGCCTGGTACTCATGTTAGGATATTGTATTACACCATTAATAATACTGCAGAGGGCGTGTACAAAATGTATAAAACTGGGAAGTTATAGTGACGAACAAAAAGATGGCAAACAATTTAAAAACATATTTTGATTCTGTCTTCACAAAGGAGGACACAAACTCCCAAATACGTTGGGAAACACATGGTCTAGTGAAAAAGAGGATTTGAAGGAAATCAGTGTTAGTAAGGAAACAGTGTTGGGGAAACTGGGGAGATTAAAGATCAATGATTCCCTAGGGCCTGATAATCTACATCCCAGAGCACTTAAGAAAGTGGCCCTAGAAGTTGTGGGTGCATTGTGGCCATCTTTCAAGATTCTATAGATTCGGTAACAGTGCCCATGGAATTGAAATAGCTAAAGTAACCCCACTATTTAAAACATGGAGGTACAGAGAAAACAGGAATTATAGACCAGTTAGTCTAACATTGATAGTGGAGAAAATGCTAAGCCTATTATAAAAGTTTTAACAGTAGAGCACTTGGAAAACAATAACACGAGCGGACAAAGTCAGCATGGATTTACAAAAGAGAGATCAGGCTTGACAGATCAACTGGAATTTTGAGAGGATGTAACTAGTAAATTTTATAAAAGGGGCCCAGAGAATGTAGTTTCCTCGGACTTTCAGAAGGCTTTTAATAAGGTCCCATATAACAGATTAGCATGTAAAATTAAAGTACATGGGATTGAATAAAATGCACTGACATGGTTGGAGAACTGGTTGACAGACAGGAAACAACAGTACGAATAAACAGGTCTATTTTCTGAGTAGCAGGCTGTGAACAGTGGGGATCAGTGCCAGGACCCCACCTATTCACAATATACTTTAAAGTTTTAGATGAGGGAACTAAATGTAACACCTCCAAGTTTGTAGATGACACAAAGCTGGGTGTGAGTGTGAACTGTTAGGAGGATGCAAAGATGCTTTGATATGATTTGGACAAATTGAGTAGGCAAATGCATGGCTGAAGAAGTATAATGTGGATAAATGTGAGGTTATCCACTTTGGTAGCAAAAACAAGAAGACAGACTACCATTTAAATAGCACTAGATTGGGAAAGGGAGAGGTAAAATGAGACCTCGGTGACCATCGCTGAAAGTAATCATGCAGGTGCAGTAAGCATTGAAGAAGGCAAATGATAAATTGGCCCTCATAGCGAGAGGATTTGAGTACAGGAGCAAGGATGTCTTGCTGCAATTGTGTAGGGCCTTGGTGAGACCACACCTGAAGTACTGTCTGCAGTTTTGGTCTCCTTATCCGAGGAAGGATGTTCTGGCTATACAGGGACTGCAACAAAGCCTTACTAGACTGAGTCCTGGGATGTCAGGATTGACATATGTAGAAAGACTGGATTGGTTAAAACTATAATTGCTGGAGTTTAGAAGAATGAGAGGAGTTGTCAAAGAAACCTACAAAATTATAACAGGACTAGACAGGATAAACTCAGGAAAGATATTTCTGATCACCAGGGAGTCCAGAGCCAACGGACACAGTCTGAGGATGCAGGTTAGGCCTTTTAGGGCTGAGATGAAGAGAACTTTCTTCATCTAGAGTGGTGAGCCTGTGAACTTCTCTGCCACAGAAAGCAGTTAAGGCCAAACCATTAAAAATGTTTTCAAAAAGGATATAGTTATTAGCATTAAAAGGTTCAAAAGGTATGGGGAGAAGCAGGAAAAGGGTACTGAGTTGGATGAATGGCCATGGTCATAATGAATGGTGGAGCAGGCTTGAAGGACTGAATGGCCTATTCATGCCCCTATTTTCTATGTTTACATTTCTATTTGATGTTAAGAACAGATGGGGGAGGGGAAATGGATGTAGAGGTAATTGCACAAAGCAGAATAAATCTTAGATCTGAGCTGGTAGCTGAAAAGTTTACACAAGACATTTTTAAAAAAATTCCTCATAAAATGCAACAGTCAGAACTTCTTTTACATTGTAACCTGAGAGGCATGCTAGGATTTTGTATTACACCATTAAGAATACTGCAGAGGGTGTGTACAGGAGTTTGTACCTCCATCTAAGCGATGTGAAGCTATCTATTGTTTACTCATCAAAGTAGAAGGAAGTAGAATGATTTGCAACATATTGGCGGGTATCAGATTAACTGTCATGTATTTGGGGGTGACTGCAAAATTTGCTGAGGGAAGACTATAGCTCCTTTGTGTCTGTGCTGGTGCTCTGCAAGAGCAACTCACTTAGTCTCATGCCCCTGCTTCTCCCACAGCCTTGAAAATGTTTTTGCTTCAAATAGTTATCCAACTCTCGACTTCCTTCTGGAAGCTACGACTGAATCTGCATCCATCACATACTCTCATCACTACACTGTTTCCGATCACTCAGCTATCGTCCCTTTTAATCTATGAGCTTCTTCATTGCTCACAAGCCTGCTGGGTGGCAGTTTCTGGAGGGTTTGAGTTATAAAAATTGACTGGAAAGGCTGGGACTTTGCCACTTGAGTGTAGGAAGTTGAGAGGTGACCTTATTGAGGTTTATAAAATCATAAGGGGCATAGAAAAGATGATTGACAAAGATCTTTTCCCGAGAGTGGGTGAACTCAAAACTAGGGGGCATATTTTTAATGTACAAGGAGAAAGGTTTAAAAAGGATGAGGGGCATTTGTTTTTTTAAAACACAGAGTGGTTCATATGTGGAATTAACTTCCAGAGAAAGTGGTGGATGCAGATACAGTTACTATGTTTAAAAGACATCTGGATAATTTCATGAATAGGAAAAGTTTGGAGGGATATGGGCCAAGCACACACAGGTGGAACTAGTTTAGTTTATGAACATGGATTGGTTGGACCTAAGGATCTGTTTCCATGCTGTATGACTATGACTCTAAGTGCATTTACAGCAGATAAACTGCATTACCAACATTAATGGTACCTGTTATTTCATTGAAAAACATAATTAGTTAAATGTAATTTTCCTGCAAACAAGTCCACATAGTCTTTCCTTAATTAATCCACATTTGTCCAACTGAATGATAGAAACGATAATTTTGTCCCAGACTACAAAACTTTCCATGGTAGTTAAACAGATTGGCCTCTTGTTGCTGGGCTTATTCTTGCCCTCTTTTTGATGATGGCTGTAACATCTGCAATTTTTCAGTCGCCTAGAGAAACCCCTGTATCTCAGAAGGAACAGAAGTGCCTCTGGAACTTCTATCAATAATGTCTTCAGCTGCATCTAAATCAGTTGAGGTGACATTGAAAGCAAAGCCAGCCTTTCTAATATTGCCTTTGTATCAATATTAAGGCTATCCAGTACTTAAATCTATCTCTCTGTTCACTGCGACTTTGGTGCCACATTCTTCCTTGATAAAGACAAATACAAAAAACACTCTTTTATACCTCAGTCATGACTCCGCTCAACCATTCCATTCATAAACTCCCTTTTGGAACCTTTTTGGCCCGAGTCCTCCTTAACCACCCTTAACTGTGCATATGCCTGTCAAAGACGGTTGGATTCCCTTTATGTTAGCTGGTTGCCCCATCTCAGCTTTTATTTCTTTTCTCAGTTGCCCTCTGAACTTTCTATGTTCAACTTGGTTTTCATTTGTACTATTATCCCGAAAATGATCATATGAAATCTTTTTCTGCTTCATCTTACCTTTTTCGTCATCCAGGGAGAGTTGGCTTTGTTCTTAATACCATTTCCCCTTGTTGGAAGGTACCTCAACTATACTCAAGCCATCCCTACTTTGTAGGCATGTCGTTATTTGTCCACCACCATTGAAGACTAGATATGGCAAGTCTGCAGAGCTTAGATCTGATCCAACGGTTGTGGAATCATTAAGCCCTGTCTATCACTTGCTTGTGCTGTTTGGTTTGCAAGTTGACCTGTTTTGTAGCTTAACCAGGGTGACACCTCATTTTTAGGTATGCCTGATGCAGTTCCTAAGATGTCCTTCTGCATTCTTCATTGAACCACGATTGATCTCTGGCTTGATGGTAATGACAAAGTGGTGGATATGCTGAACCATGAGGTTGCAGATTGTGTTTAAGTACAATTCTGCTGCAGCTGATGGCCTATGGTGCCTCATGGATGCCCAGTCCTGAGTTGCTAGGTCAGTTCAAAGTCTATCTTTTTTAACCAGTTGATTATGCCATAAAACATGATAGAAACTATTCTCCAACATGAAGCTGGGACTTTGTCTCAGTAAGAACCTTTTTCTGTGCTGTAGATCTCTATCACTCCATGACCATAAAAAAGTAGAAAAAGACCCTTCAGCCCATTATGTCCATACAAGTCAAAAACTATCACCTAACTATTCTAATCCCATTTTTTCTAGTACTTGGGCCATCACATGTATGCCTTGGCATTGCAAGCGCACATCTAAGTACTTCTTAAATGTTGAGTGTTTGTGTCTCTACCATCTTTACAGGCAGGAGTTCCAGATTTCCACCACCCTCTGGGTGAAAAAGTTTTTCCTCACATCTCCTTTAAACTTCTGCCCTTATCTTAAATCTATACCCCCTGGTCAATTATCCATCCATTAAAGGGAAACGTTTTGTCTGTCTACCTTATCTGTGCTCCTCATAATTTTATACATTTCAATCATGCCCCTCTCAATCTCCTCTGCTGTAAGAAAAACAACCCCACTCTGTCCAATCTCTCTTCAGAACTGAAATTCTCCAGCCCAGGCAACATCCTGATAAATATTCTGCACCCTCTTCAGTGCTACCACATCCCTATAATGTGGATTCCAGAAATGCATACAATGCTCTTGCTGTGACCTAGCCAACGTTTTACACAGTTCCAGCATAACCACTCTGCTCTTAAACTCTATTCCTCACCTAATAAAGGCGAGTATATCATAGACCTTCTTAAACATCTTATCTACCTGTCCTAATCCCTTAAGAAATCAGTGGAGGCATGCACGGCAAAATTTCTCTGATCCTTGGTGCTTCCTAGGGTCCTGCTGCTCCTCATGCATTCCCTAGCTTCGTTTGTCTTGAGGTGAATGTCAGATTCGTTTGTCTTGAGGTGAATGTCAGAAGTGGGATCTGTAACCAGGACTTTTTCCCAGGGTTGGGGAATCAAGGAATAGAGGGCATCAGTTTAAGGTAAGAGTTGAGAGAATACACGGGAACCTGAGGGGCAACTTTTTTTTTTTACATGGAGTGGGGTATGGAATGAGCTGCCAGCGGAAGTGGTTGAGGCAGGTACAGTGACAACATTTAAAAGGCATTTGGATGAATATATGGATAGGAAAGGTTTAGAAGGATATGGGTCAAGTGCAGGGAAATGGGGTAGCGCGGATAGACATTTTGGTTGGCATGGACCAGCTTGGGCCAAAGGGCCTATTTCCATGCTATAGAGTCATAGAGACCTATGACACAGTATGCTTCATCTTGCAAGTGGTTCATCAGGAAACTGAAGGCCATTCATCCACATTTCCAAGCCTCATGCTGAGCTGGGCAACACTGCCATCTGACAGGCATGTCATTTGGCCGTTATGATATAACATTGGCTGAGATATTGACTGATTTGATGGGATTTAATTGTATTGGGTGGGAAGGATAAGGTAGAAAATGTAAAGCAAACAGTGACATACCAACTTAAAAAAAACATGCTTTTTATTGTAGAATCCTTGAATCAAATTTGTACAAGTAGCACTGGCTTACACAAATTTAATTCAGTGGTCACTCCCATTATTCTTCTCTTTTACAGTTGGACAATTTCCAATTCTCCCACATTATATTGAATTTACCTGATCTTTTAAGGTAGATTCCCTTCCATTTTCTGAATTTTCACTTACTTTAGTACTTGGGCCACTGTGTTGGGTCCGTACCACTCCCCTACAGATTTACCCTCTCCGACTCCCATCTGAGCTGTAAAGAAAAATAACAGAAAAAAGGTGTGGGAATTCAGTCAAAGCACCTGTTAGTATACATCACAATCTTATCCTGGCATAAATCCATTCAGTGAATTCCATGCATTCATCAGTCTTTGCATTTGGGTGGAATCAAAAAAGGTACTACATTGCATACTACCGAAGATCTGATTTTGTGTTAACCATTTGAAAATACCAGAAATAACAAATATACATTCTAAAAATTATAAATACCTTCCAACTGTCACTGAGCTGACCTGACTAGCATTCAAAATTCAGAGTTCATGCAAATGCTTTGAATGACACTCAAACTCAAATTTCCACAGTGAGCTGGTTGTAGGGTTAAGTTACATACACAGCATTTTAGGGTGCTAATGCACCCCATCATGATCAGTGCAATAGAAAGGTGACTGATTTTCTAATGAATTGTTTGGGCACCAAATTCCAGCAATCCTGAAATACATTTAACTCTGAACAGAACAATAAATATTGACACAAAGCCTCCTAAAAATATTCACAGAACAATATTAATTTGTAATACATTCAAGTGCTTTAAATTCAAATCCTGTTCAGAGGAATAACGAGTCTAATCCTTTTACTTCTCTCACATTTTCCTCCTCCATCCCACCCTGTTCACATTGTTACTGTATATCAATCCTCAGAGTAGAATGCCGGTCAGGTCAAAGGCATCTGCTCGAGTCAAGCACTTAACAGTAGGAATGATATGCAGTCTAGAGCTGCTTCTTACTCTGTGCGCAATTTGTTTGATGTTTCCCACTCAGATTAGATGATCATTATGGGTGGAAAATCTGGACTCGTCTAGAAATTCATGACTTGATGCTAGTATGATGGTGGTTTGCTCCACCTAATCTAACCCTATTCTTCTGTTCATTACTTACCATACGACCATAAGACTTGGGAGCAGAAATTAGGCCTTTCGGCCCATCGAGTCTGCTCGGCCACTCAATCATGGCTGATAAGTTCCTCAACTCCATTCTCCCGCTTTCTTCCCATAACCGTTGGTCCCCTTGATAATCAAGAACCTATCTATCTCAGTCTTAAATGTACTCAATGACCTGGCCTCCACAGCCTTCTGTGGCAGTGAATTCCATAGATTCACCACTCTCTGGCTGAAGAAGTTTCTCCTCATCTCCAGTTTTTCCGCTGCCTCTGCCTCCGCGCTTACTTCTTCAATTGTGAGCCTAACCCTCCCTCTACTGACCCCTTCTCCCGCCTCCAACACACCCCCCTCCTCCTGGACACCACCCCAAGGCCTCCTACCCTCCCTCGACCTCTTCATCTCCAACTGTCATCGAAACATCAATCACCTCAACCTCTCCACCCCTCTCACCCACTCCAACCTCTAGCCCACAGAACGTGCAGCTCTCCGCTCCCTCCGCTCCAATCCCAACCTCACCACAAAAGCCGCGGACAAGGGAGGCGCAGTTGTAGTATGGCGCATTGACCTCTACATCGCTGAGGCCAGACGCCAGCTCTCCATCACCTCCGCCTACCGTCCTCTTGATCATGACCCCACCCCTGACCACCAAAACATCATCTCCCAAACCATCCACAACCTCATCACTTCAGGTGACCTCCCACCCACAGCCTCCAACCTCATTGTTCCCCAACCCCGCACCGCCTGTTTCTATCTCTACACCTTGTTATCTCAGATTCTCCAGCACCTGAAGTTTCTACTAACTCTTCTCCTTACCTCCGTTCTAAAAAGTCTTCCCTTTACTCTAAGGCTGTGCCCTCGGGTCCTAGACTCTCCTACCAAAGGAAGCATTTTCCCAACATCCACTCTGTCCAGGCCATTCAGTATTCTGTAAGTTTCAATTAGATTCCCCCTCCTCCTCCTAAACTCCAATGAGTACAGTCCCAGAGTCCTCAACCGTTCCTCTTACGTTAAACTTTCCATTCCTGGGACCATTCTCGTGAACCTCCTCTGAACCCACTCCAGGGCCAGTACATCCTTCCTGAGATCTGGAGCCCAAAACTACACACAATACTCCAAATGTGGCCTGACCAGAGCCTTATAAAGCCTCAGTAGCACACTCCTGCTTTTATATTCAAGTCCTCTCAAAATAAATGCCAACATTGCATTTGCCTTCCTGACTACTGGCTCAACCTGCAAGTTTACCTTGAGAGAATCCTGGACTAGAACTCCCAAGCCTCTTTGCATTTCAGACTTCTGAATTTTCTCCGCATTTAGAAAATAGTCCATGCTTTTATTCTTCTTACCAAAGTGCATGACCTCACACTTTCCCACATTCTACTCCATCTGCCACTTCTTTGCCCGCTCTCCTAACCTGTTCAAATCCTTCTGCAGCCTCCCCACCTCCTCAATGATACCTATCTTTGTATCAATTGCAAACTTAGCCAGAATGCTCACAGTTCCTTCATCTAGATCATTAATATAGAAAGTGAAAAGTTGTGGTCCCAACACTGACCCTTGCGGAACACCACTTGTTACTGGCTGCCATGCTGAGAAGGACCCTTTTATCCCCACTCTCTGCTTTCTGCCAGACAGCCAATCTTCTATCCATGCTAACACCTTGCCTCTAACACCATGGGCCTTTATCTTACACAGCAGCGTCCTGTGCGGCACCTTGTCAAAGGCCTTCTTGAAGTCCAGGTAGATAACATCCATTTGCTCTCCTTGGTCTACCCTGCTCGTTACTTCCTGAAAGAATTCTAGCAGATTTATCAGGCATGACCTCCCCTTGATGAAACCATGCTGACTTTGCCCTACTTTACCATACACTTCCAAATATTCAGAAATCTCATCCTTTACAATGGACTCCAAAATCTTACCCACAGCCGAGGTTAGGCTAATCGGCCTGTAATTTTCCATCTTTTGCCTTACCCCCTTTTTAAACAGGGGTGTCATGTTAGTGATTTTCCAGCCCTCTGGGACCCTCCTTGACTCTAGCGATTCCTGAAAGATCACCACTAACGCTTCCACTATCTCTTCAGCTATCTCCTTTAGAATTCTGGGGTGCAGTCCATCTGGTCCAGGTGATTTATCCACCTTCAGGCCCATCAGTTTTACTAGCACCTTCTCCTTGGTGATGGCCACCATACTCAGCTCTGTCCCCTAACTCTCTTGAATTTTTGGGAGATTACTCGTGTCTTCCACCGTGAAGACTGACGCGAAGTAATTATTCATTCCTCAGCCATTTCCTTGTTCCCCACTACTATCTCTCCAGCATCATTTTCCAGTGGTCCAATGTCCACTTTTTCCTCTGTTTTGCCCTTTATATATCTAGAGAAACTCTTACAGTCTTCATTTATATTACTGGCTAGCTTACCCTCATATTTAATCTTCTCCCTCCTTATTTCTTTTTTTTTGTTGCCCTCCGTCGGCCTTTGTAAGCTTCCCAGTCCTCTGGTTTCCCACTGCCCTATGCCACATCATATGGTTTCTCTTTTGCTTTTATGCTATCCCTGACTTCCCTAGTCAGCCATGGCTCCCCCATCCTCCCGGAATTATGCTTCTTTTCCCTGGGGATGAATTTTTGCTGTGTCTCTTGAATTACTCCCAGAAACTCCTGCCATTGCTGTTCTACTGTCTTTCCTGCTAGGCTCCTCTTCCAGTCAATTCTGCCCAGCTCCTCCCTCATACCTCTGTAGTCACCTTTATTCAGCTGTAATACCGTTACCTCTGATTCTATCTTCTCCCTCTCAAATTGCAGAGTAAATTCCATCATCTTATGATCACTGCATCCTAAGGGTTCCTTTACCTTAAGCTCCCTTATCAAGTCTGTTAAGCTCCCTTATCATTTATATCCTTTCTTTTTCAAATCAACCACTTCAAAGTGTTTTAAAAATAAATGGATTCTGCATCAACAATCCTCTGTAGCTGAGATGCACATTGTAATTACCCTTGGCTATAAACACACTGCATGAAAAGCACGACTGGTGTTTTCATATTTATTTTGGGGGTGGAGTAATTGTCCAACATATTTTTACTGACAGTCTTACCCATTTGATGAATTGAGTAACAGCTGTCTTTTCTGTCAAGAAAACACTGCAGAATCCGGTGATACTGCTCAGGCTGCCATTTGCCTTTCTCCCATCGCCAATCTGCAATAATACCATTCAGTTAGCCAACTAAACAAACATACATAGCCAAACAAAATAATAATTCAAAACAAGAGATTTATTGCAAAAAACTATTTGCTAGAGTGGTGTATTACAAGAAAATTTATTTTACGAAATTCCATTGGGTTGATCTTAAATAGAAGGAACTATCGAAGAGTTGCGGAATTCATGTTAATACGGACAGTTGATAAGATAAGATTTTGACTAAAAGGGGTTAATGAGCCACTCAGTGTGAAGCAACTGCCTAATGCCAATGGAAGTGCCATCAGTCATTAACCTGGCTGAGTAGCTGAAACTGTATTCTGCATCACAATAGCTCAGACCAACGTTTCCTACTGTCGCATTACTTACGGCTTGAAACAAAATATTCAAATTTTTTGATGAGAGTTACTGGAAAGTCCAAAGACAACAGCATCAGCCTTTATAATCATTAACTGGGGGAAACTGTGGCTCATCAATGGCCAGATTTTGGACAAGCAGTCTGATTAAAAAAAAGAACAGTGGACAAGAGAGCTAATGGAGGCGGGGCTGAGAGTCATCAGTGTGCATGTGGAACTTGATCGCAGCATCATGCAGATAACAGAAAGGGAGCCAAGGAAGGATCTGTTGGGGAATCCCATGTTTGCAGTGCAGGGACAGAAGAGAATCTATTGTCAAAAGTTCTCCGATTGTGACTAGATGAATAAAAGTGAAGTTAAGTGAGTGCAGCCTTATTGAAATAGATAACAGAGGAAAGGCACTGGAAAATGATGCTGTTGCCTGGAGCTGTTGAAAGGACTTTTGAGGGGAATGAATGGGTTTGCAAAGATAGAAGATTTGAGGGGGAATAATAATGACTGTTTAGAAAGTAAGAATTTGGAGATCTGAGGAGAGTGGATTATTTATGTTCTTAACTAACGTAGGGGCCAAGAAGAGAAGTCGGCTGGTCAGCATCTATTTGCAACAGGAGCGAAGGCTGGACTTTGTTGAAAAGGTGAACTGGGAGAGAGTGTGAGGGAAGATGGCAGAAAAAAAATGGAGAAAGCCTCAGATTTGAAACTAAGGCACTGGCAATGTAGCACAGGCAGTTGAACAGGTTGTACTTGTCCACAATGAGATTGAGATATGAGCTCCCTGCACTTATTGTAGATGTTGGTGGATAGGGGAAAATGGAGAAAAGAACCTAGAATTATCTTAACTCTAGAGTTATCTTTATTTTCCGGGACAATTCTGATCGCTAATAACACTGGGTGAGGAAATGGACAAGTGAGTTAGTTGTGCATCAAATATACTAAAAACTAAACCCATGAATTCAAAGGAATAAAGCTGGGATCACATCAGAAAAATCAAAGAGAACAAAAGGCATTTGAAGATGAATACAAGGAAGTAATCGAGCAAATTGAAAGATGTTGAAATATCATGGTGAATGGAGGCCCAAAGGTTTAAATAGTCAAAAACCTGAAAGTGTAATTATAAGTGACTTGTTGGAAGAAAGGGAAGATTTGGGGTTTTCCCCGGTGTTTGGAAGGGACTGAGGGAAAACAGCCAATGAGGGACATAAGGAAGTAATTGGAGATTGCATTGTATTGTCAAAGGGGTAGTTGCGAACATCGGCAAGTTATATGCAGTGGGAGATTAAGACAATACAGAAACAAAGTGTAATGAGGGTAGAGAAGGGAAGGTGAATTGAGATGAAGACTAAAATCATGGAAGATTAGCATTCACGTAGTGCAAAGGCTGTAGGCGAGAACATGGAAAATATCTTGATAATAAATTTTAGGTAAGGTTGATAGCAGGAATGGAGGCATGGTAAAGAACAAAGATTTTTTTAAAAAGAAAAGTAGGTAAGGTGTTCAAGAGGGGAGAAAATGCCTGGCAAGTAGGGCGAAAAACAAGAGTATGCAATGTGGTGATAAAGGGCAACACCACCAGCAGCTTCAAAACACCATCACCTGCAAGTTATCATTCACGTTACAACTGTCCTGACTTAGAACCAGACTATCACTTGTTCACTGTGGCTTAGTCAAAATCTGGAATTCCCCACCCACCCCTCAACAGCACTACGCACCTACACAGCTTGCTCTACAATGGTTCAAAGCAGCAGCTTACCTTCACCTTTCTCCACACTCCTTAAATAATTTTTAAATGGGCAAGTGATGCAAAGTATCTTTACAGGGGGAGCCAATAGATAACCTGCTTCAACCCACGAAGCAAGTTAATGAATTACTCACAGTAAAGTTGTGGACAGCTACCGTTCCCTGAGAGTGAACTGTCTATTAATGTATCTTCGCTCTAATTAATCAGACCTTCCTGTGAGACAGGATAACCTACTCTAGGCTATTTAAAGAATCTGTGTAAGATCATTCTCTCCCTCTGGAGCGTGATGAAGAAGAGGGAGCTGCTGAACTTAATTTCATAAAATCATAGAACCCCTACAGTGTGAAAACAGGCCATTCGGCCCAACAAGTCCACACCAACCCACTGAAGAGCATTCCACCCAGACAAACCAACTCCACTCCCACCTCATCCCTGTAACCCTACATTTCCCATGGCAAAAACACCTAACCTACACATCCCTGAAGACTATGGGTGATTTAGCATGACCAATCTACCTGATCTGCATATTTTTGGACTGCGGAAGGAAAACGAATCACCTGGCAGAAAGTCACACAGACACAGGGAGAATGGGCAGAAAGGGCAGAAAGTCACACAGACACGGGGAGAATGAGCAAACTTCACACAGACAGTCACCTGCGGGTGGAATCGAACTGGGGTCTCTGGCGCTGTGAGGCAGCAGTGCTAACCACCAAGCCACTATGCTGCTCCAAATTTAAAATTCCTTACAGTACTGAGACAATTACCTTAATTCGCAATGCCTCCAAAAACTACATCCAACCCCAAAGCTGTTTTGTGATGAGGGTTTCCATGAAGACTCACCTATCCCTAGGTGTCTGCATATTAATGCTTGTGCCAGGATCATCTGTCCACAGCGCAGCATACATCCCCAGCCAGCATCAGATGAGGGACCAGTTCCTCCTGTTGAGTAAAAAATAGAATTCATTACAACTTCCAGCATCACTACCTAAGTGTGAACAAGTTGTCACAAATCTGATACATTGGTCCTGTTTATGATTATTTTATCGGACAACTTAATTTTGAATACATAGAACATAAACACAACATAAAAGCATAACGTTCATGTTGTGTTGTTTGAATTTCTAATGGCTGTATCTTCTAGAAACAGTGAAAAGTATAACTTAGTTCATTGAAAAATTACACGTTTTAACAAAATGCCAGTAACTTGGTAATTTATGCTGATTGCTTTGTTAGAAAATGATTTATATAAACTTGAATATATGTACAACATCATTATATCTCTCCGAACCTCCTCAAAATGTTTTACACACCATTTTGAGGTGTAGTACCACTTTGAATTGTAATAACTATTCTGTTGTGGACAAACAGACATTTTGCACACAGTATGGTCCCACAAACAGAAAATCGAATGAATGAATGTTCACATTGATTGAAGTACAAATGTTGGTCAGGGGATTGTGTTCATTATCATGGGATCTTTTAAGGTCATCTGAACTCCTAGAGCAGGCAGACTGGTCTAAGACCAATCTTTCTTTTGAAGAAACAGTTTAAGCTCCAAACTAAGTCAATCTTCCATTATTTGAATGTTCCAGCTCAAGGATAATGCTTTTTGATACAGTTCTACAATGGCATTACAGATATTGCGGTCAGATCTGTGGTAATGACAAAGAATCAGACATATAACTAGTCACAATGATAGTAATTGATAATAATTTCAGAAATTACTGTTAATACATGAAATTATCGTGGGTGATCATTAACAAAACTTACATGGCAAAGCATGCCTCTTCTGTGTTAGTTCAAGATCACGTTCAATTACAGATACTACAATCATTCTTAATTAAACAAAAATGAACACAATCTGCGGCAGATTAAATAAGTGGCAGGATCTGGCATTGTAATATACAGAATTATAGTGAAAAATAAGACAGGACAGATGGTTCTATAATCTATACCTGTGTTTATGCTCCACACAAGACACGCCCCACTTTTCTACATCAACATAATCTTCAATCCTTTGTCCCTCATGTACTTGGCCAGCTTCCTCTTAAACGCAACTATACTGCTTGCCTCAACTATGTCTGTGCCCCATGATTCCTGAAGAAACAATGAGCACTTGCCAATCATCATGACCTTAGCCATCTTAACTGCGATTTGCATTTTCTAGTTGATTAAAAATAGATTTGTACATTGAAGTCAATGTTCTTTGGAGGGAACCAGGAAATATAAAAACAGCCATCTTCACACCCAGCAGACTTAGAGGTTGACAAAACAGGAAAAGGCCCTTTGGACATTGAGGCAAGATCTTTTTGTAGCTGGGTTTCCTGTACCATACCCAAAGAGATGGCAGGGAATTGATCAGCACCAATCAGAGCAGCCCCAGTCATTTAACACCTTGAGAAGCTTTACTTGGCTGGAGCCACGTAACTCTCAAGCAGATCTTTCTTTTTCTCTGACACACACCGCGCACACACACACACCACACCCCCCACCCCACACACACACACCCACACACCCC